CCTGCCCCTGGGGTCACAGCGTGCATCGCCACTCCCGGCGCAATACAGCTTTCACCACGGCCACCGTCGGAGCCGGGAGCCCGCCCCGGAGCCCCCTTTGCCCTGGTTGGTCTTAGGAGACCCCGCTCGAGGGTCCCAAGGCCCGGCCGTCCGCGCACTTACATTTGGCGTCCTTTCTCCTGGCGGTGAGCAGGAAGTCTTTGATTTCCTCAATTTTCCGGGGCTGCAATACACGGGGAGGGAGCATCGGTCAAGCCCACCAGCCCTCGACCTCCGAGACCCTCGGAAAGACTCTCACCCTCGCCCCGGGCGCCCGCGCGCCTCCCCGGGAAGGTGCCCGGCAGGGGTCGTACTCACCATGGCGACGAGGCACGCAGACGGCGAGGACCGGCACCTGCCAGGGACAGTGCTCGGCGTTAACGGGGCGCGGGTCGCGACCCCTGCTTCCACTCCCCACCCGAAATACCGGCTCCACCACACTCCCGCCTTCCCCTCCCGCACCCTGGGCGCAAGCCTGGGGTCCCCACAGTCCACCCGGCTGCGGATTGCCCCGGATTATATCACCTTTCCTCGCGGACAGACGGAGACACTTACAACTAACGCGGAGAACCGAAGGGAACGGAAAAGAGCGAGCCTTCCGTTTCCGGGCAGTTAAACCCTCCCAACGCAGGAAACTTCGTACGGTGTCTGCAAAGGATCAAGAATTATGCGTGCGCCCTTTCAATTTCAGCAGCCGTGCCCCCTTCTGGTTTAGGTTAGTAGTGCAGCTCCCTGAAGTAACTGGCTGCTGACCAGGTCCTCTGGCTGAGTCCTCCTGCCTTCCTCCTCCTCTGTCCTCCACGTTCGTTCCCTCCTCACTCTTCACCTTCCACTCCACCTTCTTACCCCAAAGTCCCCCACACCCCAGCTTGGCTTTCCTAGGTTTTATTTGAGAGTCGTTAGACCTGTGCATTGGCCATACATGCAGAGAAGTCCTTCCTAATTTATTCTGTGTACCTTGAGCGCCTCTTGTTGGGGATTCCTCACGTTTCCATCATGTCTCTTTGGGGGACACCTGCTGTCGTCACTGGTTCCCATTCCTTTATGAATCAGTGTACACAAAAAAAGAAGTTACTACTTTCAGTAGTTGAAGTTATTACACCCCCCACACACACACACACACACCGCAGTGTGACAGGTGGCCTCGTTGCTACCTGAGGCTTCCTGGCCAGATTCCCCAGCCCAGTTCCCATCCCCACCACCACCTCTTCAGAAGGCTCCGGAACATGCAGATCTCCCCACCCCCATCCCGTCAGCACAGTCACCCTCAGCTCTGACGTCACTTTTGAGATAGGCTCTGGGAAACCCGTGGTTATTGGTTTTATTTTTATGTGCTACTTTTACTTTATTTTCAACCTCTCTGCAAATGTCCACATTTTATTATATTTTGTTTCCCCCCAATTTAATAACCCCTCAGCAGAACGCAATCGCCTTGTGATCATCACCGCAGAGTAGCCCTCTCGGGGAGAAACTGCCCTTTGCCGTGAACTTGATCTGGACTTGAGCTATCTTCCCTCTGGCCCCCACCCTCCCTTCTGATGAACAGGCCCAGGGTGAGCCCTGCCTAGGGGTGCTGGCCACACCGGGAAAGGCAGACCAGTGGTCCTTGCTGCAGAGAGATGGCCAGCTATTCTCCTTGCACTAGACAGTCTTCCAAAGGAGCCGGACCGTGTTTCTGCCACGCAGAGTGTGTCTGGGTGTAACCCAGGAAAAAGCTGGTTGATGGGCACTTGGTTTCAGTGTTTGGAGCCCAGATGGGATCAGAACCGTGGGTTCTTCAGCCCTGACCCGAGGACAGCCACAAATTTCTCAGCCCGACTTGGCCAGCCTCCTCCGTCCTGGTAGACGCTATTCTCTTCTACCACCCGACCCTCCCCGACAGCTGCCCTTTCAGCCAAACCCAGGGCCTCAACTTGCCGGGCCTTTCTGACCCGCAGGCATCGATGTGCGCCGTGTCCTGCTCTGATCCTACCCATCTCGTGTCCGCAGCCCATCTCCGCCTCTCTGCCCTCGTCGGAGCCCTTCGCCTCTGACTGCCGTCACTGTCACCTGTCACTCATTGCAGCTGACGATGGATGGACTGCGCATTGAACTTGTCACACATTGGCACTGGTGTTTCTTTGAGGGCGAGGGCGGGGGTGGACATTCTGTCTAAAGCAGCACTCATGCATGTAGCCGACGCCGAATACTGACCTGGAGGATTCTCAGGCTGGCCTCTGAGCGCTTACTGCAGGACAGACTGTGTGGGGGGTGGGGGAGGAGGCGTGCAGAGAGGGACTGATATTCTCAAAGCAGGGCCTGGCACATAGTAGGTGCTCAGACATGTTGTTGAGTGAATGACCGGGGTTTCTCCCATCTGTGCAGGACCAACGGGGAGAGAGGGGGGACAGGAGGAGGGGCTGCTTCTCCTTTTTGGCAGCGATCCCAGAGAGACAGATGTTCACCACTCGAGCTGTGCCGTGTAAGGGGACTCGGATGTGTAGCAACAGACACAAAGGCGAATTTGTTCAAGTGCCCAGGTCTCCTCTGGCCCCTCAGGGAGACAACATAAACGGCAGCGGAGGAGAGGAGAAGCAGGGGCCCCCAGGGAGCGCTTCCCGGCTCCAGGGTGGAGGAGCCCGAGGGTCAGGACACAACCTGGAGCTGGGAAAGGAGGGGCCCAGCCCTGGCCCCCACCAAAACCCCCCGCGCCTCTGTGAATGGGGCCCTGGCGCTGCCCGAGCCATGGGCTTCCCCGATTCCCACACGCGGGGAGCTCCAGGGCTCCAGGTGGGTCCTGCAGATGAGAGCCCCGGGCTTGAGAGAGGCCCAGTCCACTCTGCTGGGCTGCTCACCCTCAGAGCGACCAACCCCGTGACCAGAGTGTCTCCCACATTTGAGAGGCAAGAAAGGAGAGTCCCAACCAGGGCCGTGGACGCAGGGCTGGAGACCAGAGCTGCCTGGCGGCCTGGGTCGGTGGGTGCGCTCCGTCCTGGCCACCTTCTTCCCTTCTGTTGGTCTGCTGGGCTCAGGGGCTGCCCTGGAGGGGTGTGCGGGGGACAGAGCAGGGTCCAGGGGGACACAGCCCTCCCCTGCCCTCCAGCAGGCACCACCCTGCCGCCCCAGGAAGGCCAATTGGCTTAGATTTCTCCCTCCAGTTTCGAAGGCACCAGAATTGGTCAGCACACGAGTGCCCACTCACAGAGGTCGCCTGAGCAGAGCGGACTGTGACGTCCCCTGGCCTCTGGGCTTTCCCCTAGTTCTGTTGGTCCCACGATTGTGGCTCCTGTTAACGAGTCCCACTCTGTGCCGGGCACCGGGGCCCAGGAAGAAGCAGGAGGAGGCTCTGAACGTGCGCAGGCGGCTGTGGCCCCCCAGCCAGCTGGCCACGATGCCCAGAGGCCAGCCGGGCCCCTGCCTCCTGGAGGCCTCCTGGAAGGCTGCATGGAGGCGGTGACATGGAGCTGGCCTCTGTGGGGTGAGCAGGAATTTGCCAGAAGTGGGTGGTGGGTGGAGGGCTTCCAAGTGGAAGGACAGAGGGACCCGACACTCACCCCACCAGCCGAGCAGAGGCCGGGGGCGTGGGCTGCAGTTCCCCCTCCAGGGACAGTGAACCCTTGTCTGGGGTCCAGCTCCACGCCTTCTCCCTCTAGAGCTGAACTCCTGGGCCCCGCTTCCTGGTTCTGAAGGTGTGTGTGTGTGTGTGTCTGTGTGCGTGTGTGTGTCTGTGTGCGTGTGTGTGAGTGTGTACTGCCTCTCTGTTCTTCCTCACAGGACTGCTATGAGGCTCCAGTTGGCACATCACAGAAAAGCCAAGGTCACCAGCCACAGTGGCACATGCCTGTAATCCCAGTAGCTTGGGAGGCTGCGGCAGGAGGATTGCAAGTTTGAGGTCAGCCTCAGCAACTTAGTGAGACTTTGTTTCAAAATAAAAAGGACTGGGATGCAGCTCAGTGGGAGAGTGTCCTGGACTCAGTCCCAGGACACAGAGAGAGGTGGGTGCTTTCCTATCTACCATCTCATTTAATCCCCAGGAGGCCCCAGGAGGCCGGGCCTCTTGGCTCTCAGCAGGGCTGGCTCCAACCCACTCTGAAGGGAGCTGCACATCACCCTGGGGGCTCTGTGGTGGGGGAGGCAAGGGTTACCCCGCTCACTGAACTTGGCTACCAAGAAGAGCAGGGTACAGGTGACTGGGCTGGTGCTGTTTTTGGAACCCAAGATGGTGAGACCAATAGGGTGCTGGGTGCACCCCCTCCACCAGCCCCCAGAGCTTGAGGCCCTAGGTGGCCCTGTGGGGCAGGCAGGCTGACCTTCTGGAAGCTTCTGAGTAGAAAGCCCAGGGCGTGGCTGGACAGCCGCAGCAGGGTGCCCCACGCTCAGCACCGTGGGTCCTGGCCACTCTGTTCGGAGGCTGGTGTGGGCTGTGATGAACAGGTAGGATCGGTGGCCTCCTGGGCCTCTATCTGGTTGGCGCTAGCCACTCACGGTTTCTAAAAACATTATTTTATTCTTTACTTTTTATAAATGTTGAGACATGGTCTCGCTCAGTCGCTCAGGGCCTTGTTAAGACACTCACAACTGTGACAGACACGTGTCTCTAGACACTGTCAAATGCCCTCGGGGGTGGGGGTGGGGCAAGTGGCTTCTGATTGAAAACCCCTGGGCTAGGAGGAAAGACCAAGAGAACGTTCTGTATGGTGCCGACTGTCTCTCTTCTGAACTTGCTCTTTAATGAGGCTGAGGCTGGAACCCAGGGCCCTGACCGTGGGAGGCAAGGGCTCTGCCACCGAGCCGGCCCCTGGTCAGCTGACTGTGTGGTGCCTGGGGCCAGCCCCAGGCCCAGGCCCGACTCTGCTCCTAGCAGGCGTTTCTCAAGTTCGTACCTAGGGTTTGTGTTCGTCAGCTTCGTCACTGTGACCAAAACACCTGGCAAGAGCGACACAGAGGACGGAAGGTTTGGGCTTACGATTTCAGAGACTCCGTCACCCCGGGCAGGAGGGAGGCCCGACATCATGGAGGAAGGTCACGGTGGGAGGAAGCTGCTCACCTGAGGCAGCTGTGGAGCCGAGAGGGGGAGGGAGGGACCAGGGGACAAGGTGTGACCCCAGTGACCTAGCTTTCTCCAGCCATGCCCCACCTGCCACAGGTGTCACCCAGTTCATCCATTAGAACCCGCCAAGTGGCTCCATCCGCTGACTGGGCTTCAGGTCTCCTGACCTCAAGATTCTGCCCCTGAGCATCCTACACCAGCACAGGTGGGAAGGCTGGTGTCCAGGTGGGGACAGCGTGGGTGGGAGGAGGGAGGAGAGGCCCTGAACCCACTGCCCAGTGCCTGGTGCCTCTGAGAGAGCAGTGCCGCGCCCCAGCTCAGAGTCCCAGCCGGTGGGCGGCGGGGCCTGCTCTCCTGCTCCCCTGCCGGCCAGGGCCCAGGCTGGGCCCCTTCTCAGCCACAGCTACGTCCATTCTGGGCATCTTTGTGGGGTTCCAGCTTAGGGCCAGGCTCTGAGCAGGTGAAGATGCAGAAATTGGATCCCGTCGCCATCTCTGTTGCCATCTCAAGGGACTCGCACACTTGCGGGGCAAGCAGTGACAGGCCGGGCCACCTGTGGGCAGCGCTTCTCACTGTGGGGCCGGAGGGGCTGTGGGGGTCAGAGCCACCAGCCAGAGAGTGCAAACAGG